CCTCGCCTGCCTGTGAACTGTCCCGTCTTCTTGACATGATCAATGGCCCAGCACTGTGCCGGGTTGCCAGGTTTGGGTTCACTCCTCAGTCACTGGAGGTGAGCTGTGCTCCTCTGTGGTGGGCAGATGAAGAGTCAGCTGGAGCTCACAGCAGGGATGAGGAGGTGCATTTTTTCCACAGATCTGCACTTGACTGTCTGGTTTTTCCAGCGCTGGTCATAAAAGGCCACTGAAATATTTTTATTGACGTTATATTTTCTTCATTTTTTCCTTTCCTTAACACCTTCTTGCACTGGTTTGGGACGTTTGAAGGGAACTTTATTTGCTGGGTTCATTGGGGACAGGCGGCTCAGCAGACTGTTTGAAAGCAGCTTGTGTGTTTGTTGACGGGGCTGTGTGGTGCAGGAAAAGGGGGGGTGCACGCTGCCAAATGTTTGCTTGCTGACTCCATCAAGAAAATATCAAAAGGCCCTTTATGAGGTGCTGTAAAGAAGACCAGGTGTTTTGAGAACACCACCAGACTCCAAGGGTAATTCCACTTTTTAAAACATGCCCCGAGGATACATTCTTGTCCCACCTGCTGCCTTTTTTCATTTTTAAAGGAAAAAGGGGTAAAAAAAAGATTAAAATGTGCCTTGGCAACAGCTTGTGTGCCATGTCACATTGTGTCATTCTTCAAAAGTCCACAGTTTTGTCATTAGCACTGACAGAAGCCATGAGGAAACAGGAAAATGCTTTTACTCAACATACTGGTCTGGCGTCAGATTGCATGCATGCGTCACAAATGTTCATCGACGTTTGTCTCATTGCTTTCTTCTGGTTCCCAGAGAATGGGTTTAATTCCCTTCAGGAATGCGTTTCTTAATATCTATTTTCAAATCTCGCCGTCTCCTGATTGGCCGTCTTCCCTTCCTATATAGCGATGCCTCGTTACAGGCGTGTTAGTGTGTCAGTCTGTGGGAGACCAGGTGATGAGCTTTCTGACAGCTGTTGAAAGGCGTTGCTACTGCTCATCACCTTTAATGAAAGTGCCCCCCTCCCCTGTCAACACAGTCAGGAATTCCTCCCATTTTTCTCAGCGGTTTTTTTTCCTCCACTTCTTTCTTTCTTTCTCTCGGTTATGGCCCGGTGCCATTTTGAGTGCTTGTGTATATATATATATGGGTTATATATAGGTGAAACAGAATAGCAATGGGAAATGAGAGCGCATGTATGGAGGTGTAGCAGTGAGGGATACTGAGAAGTGGCTACAAAAGCCGGTGACGAAGATCCTCCGGAAACGCTGGTACTGAAAAGAGGAAGGAAGCAGGTCTGTTGTGTGGGACCTTGTAGCAGAAGCCTCAAGAGTGATAGCAGGAAGACGTGGGCAAAACAAAACAGAGAAGGAGAGTATTATGTGCTGGCACCACTGACAAGGGTGTGGTACTACTTTCTTTTCCTCTTTCTTTACAGATTCATTCGTGTGCTGATGGTCAGTCAGTCGAACCCTATGGCGCTGTAGCCTCTGCCGTGGTGTAGAGGGCCAAAGGCACCCTTGAAAGCCCCACCTAGTGTGCCAGCAATTCTCCCAGCCCACTGTTCACCATCCTCTCCCAATCTGCCGTCCTTCTGCCACTACTCTCTGCCCAGTCCCCTACTGCGTGCCCCTCTCTCCCCCTCTGCCTCAAAGTCTCGACAAGAGGCGCAACTTTACAGGATCTTTAGTGAAAATAGAGGCGGAGACAAAGGCCACGCATGCCCGTGCTTGCAGTTTAGCACTAACAGGGAAAACATCAACAGAGTGAGTCGCACACATAGAGGAGGGGGTGTTTTTAATGGGGAACACTGGAATTCAGTGGTGCACTGTTACAAACCGTCCGGGCATTTGCAAGTGAAATATACACTACAGAGACAGAGCAGAGCCGCTGGCTGGAGTTGCACGTGAATGCTGGACAAGCACAGAAATAAACGGCTACACATATCCTACAGATGCACCGTGAGCGCAGAAAGAATACGTCTGAGCGTTTGCTCTCACATGCCAAGGCTGGAACTGTTGGAGCAGTGTTGCACTGAAGATTCAATCACTCCAACAGGTCACGTACACAAAATCTGCACGCTTATTGTGAAAGAACACTTGTTACAGTGCCAGATTGTCATATGCTGCTCAGTTAAGAGGAGTGTGTTGCAACACAAAACAGGAGCTGTGTAGTCATGCGTTTGCTCACATACATTAGAAACACTCCTTTTTCCAGCTGAGTGAACAGCAGGCAGCCTCGGCGTTGCCAGGAAGTCTTCAGATTTTTGGCTTTCTTTCCTCTTCTGTTGGATCTCTTGATGCTAAAGGGAGTTTGATTGGCTCGGTTAACTTGACCTAGAATTCACTGTAATTGACCTAGTTGAATTCACCTTCAGCCACACAGCTATTTCTGTCGCGTGCAGTTATATTTCACATCTAACGAGGCTGTGCTGAATGCTGCACAGTATTTTAGTGTAACGTTGCTGTGTGTTTGTAGTTTGTAGCCACTGAGTGTGTATATGGGACCAACTCGGCACCACTCGTGCACAGCAATGCAACACGGGATCAGAGAATAAACTGATACTTAGCAGGAAGCTAACAGTGACTGTTGATAACTTAACTCTTCTTCTTGCCTTTCTTTTTCTTCTTCTCCTCCCCCAACAGCAGCACCCACACCACCTACCCCACTCCTCTTCTCATCTGTCTGTCATCAGCTCACAGGCCTTAGACAGCGGATTGTCATGCAAATGGTGCCCCAAGCCTCAAAGCGCTGATAAGGAGGGCCTCTCATTTCACTGGGCTTTGTTTTCTAAACAGTGATGAGCTGAGTTGAAGAGACTGAGAAAAGGGGCTCGGGGTAGCTGTCTGAATGGGCCCTCTGACTGTGGCGCCCTGGGGTAAGTGGTACAGGGGATTTGAATGGAGTAGGCTGAATGGGGCGAAGTCTTGGAGGTGGATTCAGGAGTCATGTTCTCTGGCAGGAACCAGGTTCGACATGTTGACAGAGCCTGATGTATTTTGTCTGTCACCGCTGCCCGGGTTTTTCTCCAAGATGGACTTTCTGTGTTTGGCCCGCTTTCTTTATCCGTTTCGACGGTGTCAGTCAGTGTTCGTTACTTGACGCCACATATGGTTTGTCCTTTTCTGAGGGGTTGTCAGCGCTCGGTCTGGAGCCTCATTTGCTGCTGTTATTATTGCATAAACAGTGGTTCATGGCGCGTTCAGAGGGTTTCTGTTCTCCCACTGACCCTGCCGTTTTGTTACATTCTGGCCGAGGAGATATGAGACTCGCTGCAGAAACATTCAGGGGGCGTAAACTTCGGATTTTAGATTGATTTGTGCGTTTGGCTTTGGGATTGGTCTAAAAACTAATGGAAAACATCTTTGACTTCAGCAAAATGAGGTTTTCAAAGGAGGACTGTGGATTTCTGAAGAGTCGCATATAAAAACGCAGATGAAAAACAGATGTTTAGGCAGCAGGCAACAAATAAAAAATGTCTGATGTATTTCTGTTACTATCATTAATGAGGTAGTTGCAGGCCGGTCAGAGCAGCTACAGCAGAAGTCGTAGTAATCGTCAACTTGGTCTTGAACAAGACTTGCCCTCAGCAACTTTGTCCTCCCCCTCTCCCCCCCCCCCCTTCCCCTTTCTCTGTTTTATATCAAATTCCTCTTTTTACGCCCTCTTTTTTTCTCTCCTTTTTGAAGTCTCCTCTCTCTAGTAAAAAAAGCCATGCTGGTGGTTTTTGATTCTGCTTCGGGTGTGAGAGGGGGGAGTAAGTCGGGTGGGGGGGTTGTAGGTTAAGTTTAAGCAAGTCCTCTGTGCTTTCCATTGAAGGTGCTGGAGAGAGGTGGGGGCAGTAAAAGTTAGAATTTTAGAGCCTGCCTGTTTTTTATTTTATGATTGGCTTTTTTTTCTCTCTCGCTCTCTTTTTACGGGCTGTGAGCTACAGCTGGTGGTGTGAATAGCTGCCCAAGGTGACCGAGTCCCAATAAAGTGCAGGCCAGCCGGGCTGGGGCCTCCAGTCCAGCCATGGGACTGCCTTTATAAGCCAACTTACGAGCCTAGTCCTCTGTTAAAACCTGGCAGGGCTGCACTGAGGAATTTAGGGCCAGGAAACAAGAGAAAAATAGGGTTTGTGTGTCAGGGGATGCAGAGTAGGGGGTTGAAGTTAGAGGGTGACCAAGGGTGAAACTGTGTGTGTGCAAGTGTGTGTTTTGTGGCATGTGTGGTTAGCATCTTATATTTCTCAGGGGGAGTATGGAATCCATACCCTGCACACTTGAACCTTCCAAAAGAGCCTATATGGGGTCCACTTTGGAATATAATGAAGTGTAATGCACCATATCGAGTATGTGACTCGAGTAAGCGCTGATGTCACAGCTGTGCACCAGTTTTTGAGACGCAGAATCAGGGCTCTGCACCGGCTTTGCGTGTGCGTGCATTTGTCATGTGCCTGTGCTGTGCGTGCAAGATGTTCACATGAGATGTTGTCAATGTGTGGAATGAGGTAAAGCCAGCTTTGACTCTTGACTTTTCTCAACTCATTAGCTCGCTCTGTTACCTGTCCTTATCAAAGAAGCTGTCAGACGCTGTCAGTTACATCTTAGTGATGTAAAAAGCTGTTTTCTCACAGCTGTCAAACAGCCCTTCTTCTCTTATTTATTGTCTTTACATAGACAAGAGTTATACGCGAAGACAATATGACAATATGTTCTATGCGATATCCCCAAAGGGCCCCTGAGTTTGGCTCCTTAGTGATAATTGGTACCAGGAAATAGAAACACTTCCTTGATAGTTCATATCTTATTTATCTTTTGAGACTTAAATGCGTCTCACTCCACGTCCAGACAAAATGTTTGTCATCTTAGTGTGGTTATCTATCCACATCTGCTGCGTGTATTCACAGCTCCACATGTGGCATTTGCAGAGTTACTAATAGCTGTACGATAATGACTAGTAACTGATCATGTGCTCCACTGTCTTTTCTTTCCATGTTCACAGCGGTGGAGACCCAGAGCAACAGCTCAGAGGAGATGGTACCCAGTTCTCCGTCTCCACCTCCCCCACCTCGAGTCTACAAGCCCTGCTTTGTGTGCCAGGACAAGTCCTCCGGGTACCACTACGGGGTCAGCTCATGTGAAGGCTGCAAGGTGAGAAGAACCAATCTTTTGAACACTGGGTTTTCTGAAATAAAACAATTTTTGATTCTCTATTTTGCATTCACATGATAAAAGAGGGATGGACAAAGGGCAGGCTGGAGGAGATACAGCGACATGTCACAGCCTTTATAATGATAACTGTACTGCACTTTCTCCCTTGCCCTCTTCCCTTTTGTGTCCTGCTTCCTGGTGTTCCAGGGTTTCTTCCGTCGCAGTATCCAGAAGAACATGGTGTACACTTGCCACCGAGACAAAAACTGTCAGATCAACAAGGTCACACGCAACCGTTGTCAGTACTGCAGGCTGCAGAAGTGCTTCGAGGTCGGCATGTCCAAGGAAGGTGAGTCCCCCAGCGTTGAAGATATAGTTTGGAAAACAGGGTCACTCTCTCACTCGCACATAGAGTCTGAGAAACTAGGCAGCAAAGACAGAAGCAGATGATGAGCCCACCAGGGGTGGTGATCAGGGTGAGGCTGGGCACTGTACCAATCATATGACTAATCCCTTTACAAAATGAATCTGACTTCCTGTTTCACCACAAAACCTCGCCCCTCTGGCCAGCACACAGACACTGCTTTCATTCATAAAGACAACACGGGAGAAAACAAGATTTGGGAGTTTTGACCAACGGATTGAGAACAGGATTCACGCCATTTGCGCAATCAGAAACACCAGCCTGTTGGGGGGAGGTTATTATTTCAACCTTTTGTGTAGCCAGCTGCGTGTAAGTGGCAGTTTCTTGCCCTTCACGAAGCCCGGGGGACATGTATGTGGGTGTAATGTTTGTGTGGGATGTGTGTTAAGACCGGGATCACATTGTGCCTCTGCTATTACTGGATATCCTGAGAGGAAGGAAAGTATGGGAGGAGGAGGAGGTGGTGGGAGAAGAGGCAGAGAGAGGGAGAGAGCGTACTGGCTTATGTGCACCGGTCAAGTGGATAGAGAGATGGACAAGGAAGCCAGCGGGTGATAAGAAGGAGATAGCCAGCGTCCGTGCCGGGCCTCAAGGAAATATGTTAATGCTGTTAAGAGCAGAAAGGTTCTGGTTTCCACTGGCGTGTAACATCTCCTTGGCAGCAGTGAAAGACACTGAACATGAATGCTGAGTTTGTTTTCAAATGTCATTACAGAAAGATTCAATTAACTTTCTGTATGAGCTTTAACATTGTATGTGGAACTAATTTTGTTTTCTCCCCTTTACGCAGCGGTGCGCAATGACAGAAACAAGAAGAAGAAAGATGTGAAGGAGGAGGTTGTTCTTCCGGAGAGCTATGAGCTAAGTGGAGAGCTAGAGGAACTAGTCAATAAAGTCAGCAAAGCTCACCAAGAAACTTTCCCATCACTTTGCCAACTGGGCAAATACACCACCGTAAGTCGTGCACATAAACGCAGTCTTTCACTGCTGCATTTGGAAACTTTCTGTCAGTTACGTCAGCAGCGAATGCTCCCAGATTGCATGCTTATGAAAATTCGCAGTAACTTTCCCAACATAGTGGTGGCTTAACTAATGCAGTTCCCCATTAAGCCATCTGTGTGGCCTCGGAATGATTGATGCAACATGTAAATGGAATTCTTTCCCCACACTTGACTGATGTAAAATGTAAATGTGAGGCTCGGCGAATCTTGCCTTTGATACAAACGTGGTTGCACACCTCCTCTCGTGTGACGTGCTGAACTGTGGGTGTTTTTGTTTGTGCAGAACTCCAGCTCGGACCATCGAGTCCAGCTCGATCTAGGGCTATGGGACAAGTTTAGTGAGCTTTCCACCAAATGCATCATCAAGATAGTAGAATTTGCCAAGCGGCTGCCAGGTTTCACCAGCCTCACCATCGCTGACCAAATCACTCTGCTTAAGTCCGCCTGCCTGGACATACTGGTGAGGAGCTTTTGTTTTCTGCCCTCTTCACTCACTTTTAGTAAATAAATGATTCTGTCAAAGCTAATGCTGAAATATGGGTATGCTTCCACCCGGTGGTGAGAAGTGGCAGTGCATCCAAGTTTGCCCAGATAATGCAAAATCTATCATATAAATAGTAGTTTGGCTACCATTTTTAGCTACTGCAGATATTTTTAGTGTTGTAAGAAGTCATATTACACTACTTTACATTTTATTTGCATTTTTTAATGTTCAAAAAGTTTCACACCCTGTTTTGCTTTTCAGATGCTGAGAATCTGCACACGCTACACTCCAGAACAGGACACTATGACGTTCTCAGATGGCCTGACTCTGAACCGGACTCAGATGCACAATGCGGGCTTTGGACCTCTTACAGACCTGGTTTTTGCCTTTGCAGGCCAACTTCTACCCCTGGAGATGGATGATACAGAAACCGGTCTCCTCAGCGCCATCTGCCTCATCTGTGGAGGTACTGCAGCATGCACCTACTCTTGATTGGTCTGTTACAAAGAGGAAAGGACTTTAACAAAATAAAAGTTAAACATAATTGATTTTTGTATGTAAGAGATTATTTAAAACTTAAAAAAAAAGAGAGAATGAGAACATATGTTTGCTGCTTTTCTCACTAGACCGCATGGATTTAGAAGAGCCCCAGAAAGTGGATAAGCTACAGGAGCCTCTGCTTGAGGCTTTGAAGATCTATGCCCGTCGTCGCCGCCCCAACAAACCCCACATGTTCCCACGCATGCTGATGAAGATCACTGACCTCAGGGGCATCAGTACGAAGGGTAAGAATGGAGAGAGCGCTTTCTAAGATTCAACTCTGTACACTTTCCTCAGGTCCTTGCCAGAAGAATACATCTTTTACAGGACGCTCTACTAGTTCAGTTTTATTCTTTATGATGTGTCCATGTATTCTGAGACCTAATTATATAAATTATCCACAAACGCCTTGCTTTCTACTTTCAGGTGCAGAGAGAGCTATCACTCTGAAGATGGAGATCCCAGGGCCGATGCCTCCTTTGATCAGGGAAATGCTCGAGAATCCGGAGGCCTTCGACGACCAAACAGAGAGCAACGAGAGCCCGCCGCCTCCGCCACCGCCCCCACCACCACCACCCGCGCCTCCAGCCCTGGTTCTGAAGCAGGAGGCTGAGGATGAGGACGACAGCTGGGCCACCGAAAACGGCAGCGAGCCATCACCGGAAGAGGAGGACGAAGACGACGACGACGACGTGGGAGATGAAGATCGAGACAGGGGCTCGGACAGTGACGGGGAGCCCTGGGTGTTTTAACTTCCATAGATGGGTTGAGGAAAGGCCTCGCTCGGAGGGCGCAGTGAAAAGAGCATTTCATACATAGACACACAGATTCATCACACACACACACACACACACATGCATACAAGCATATAAGTAAACATACACATATATAGACACACACATACACCTCATTCACTCTTCCACCTCGAGAAAATGCT